ACTTCAACGTAGTTAAGTCAGCTCGAATGGTAAGTTTATATTCATGAGGAAAGCAATGACATAGTCGTGGCTGACTACCAGAGCTGTGAGAAAATCTTACACTAAGATGGCTGCCTTCAGGGTCTCGTAGAAGTTTACCAATTGTTCTCAAAGATCCTTGATCAGTCATCGCCCTGGTGATGGAGTCATTACAATGTATTAAATAGTCCGTAGAGCTTATTAATTTAATTGTAATCCCAGGACAGAGATAAAAATATATTAAAAATAATTAAACTTACAGATTAACGGCTTTATTAATTCTCACGAACTCTGCTCTGAGAGTGTCAATTGGATTCAGCTGGCTCAGGGAAGTGTCCAGAATCGTATGTACACGGTAATGAACTTTGGGGTTTCATAAAAAGTTGACTACGTGAGCGACTAACAGCTTCTCAAGAAGTCTCTTGCTTTAAAACTGTTAAAAGATCTTCCGTGTTTATTGTAAACAAAGCAATGACATTTGAATTAAACTAATCAGATATTGTAATTACATTATAAATTTTTGTTTCAAGTCGTAACTGTAAGCCTTTAGATAGTAGAATAATTTCATTGATCATTGCAGTTCTGTGAACATTTTAATGTCTGATCCACGTAGATTAAGTATGAAGCTAAGGGAGTATCGATTTTGTATCGCGTTGTACTTCGATTAGCGTTCTCATACCTACACACCGGCACAGGTGGGCAGTTATTTTTAGCAGAAACTCTCTTGCAACCACACAATTCATTAAGAGTCTTGTCTCCTTCGGGTAGCATATATTTTACAAGAAACAAGTTGCGTGTGTCTGTCCGTCTATCCATCATACACCTGACCTCGTGGAGCTGATTTTTTGAGGAGATTAAACCTCAAATGTTCCTTACCCTGTTCATAGCATCTCGTCGCCAACAGACTATCCTGAACCAGCTGATTCTAGTCATAACCTCAAAATTGAGAACGGAGTAATCTGTACTTCACGTAAAGGTAAGGTCGATATCGAGATAGGAGGCAACTATCGATAACACCATTACATATTTACATTTTCGATTTTATCGCTCGTTATTCGATTCTTTTATGCATTCTTTTTACTCCATAATGAATACTGAAGAACCATAATTTTCTAATTTGGGCTGTAAACTCTATTAGTTAGAAAACCAACGATAATACCCTTCAATTTCAAAAATTATTTCAATCAGAGAATTCAACAGAATCACGTGTGAACTTTGCAATGAAAAATTATTAAATAATTTAAATCAAAATATGTTGAGGGCAGAGTGAAATCTTTGTTTCAATTCAGTTTATTTAAACATCGCTTTCAGTGTTTCAGATTAATAAATAATTAATTGGAAAGAACGTGGAATGAATTTTGCCTCGTTAAAGGTAATGATGATGATGGGTCGAAAGCAAACGCTTTTCCGCGCCAAATACGACGTGCGATGCCTCAAACAACGATAAACGCATGACTGATCCGTAATGTTCCTCTCCACCAGGGGTGTTGAAACTATGGCACGCGTTTTCCACAAAAGGGTTCAATCTGGCCCGTGGCTACGTTCAGATAAAATGCAATAAATGACACGACCTGTCACTTAAGTTTCTCATACATATCTTAGAAGTATTATAATCGAATAAAAATATATCGATAGTCTGGTTTGGAGTTATTATTACATTCACAATAGCCCGCAATGTGGGGATAAAATTACTGTAGTCCACACGCTCAAACCCGATTTCGCTAAGATCCATTTTAATATTATCAATCCAACTAAAACGTGGTATCCTAAACTGGAAATTCCTCGCAATTTTTCCAGATGAAATGTCGGCATTCGTAATTTCGTACATGCGCAGTCCGAGGGCAAAGTGCCATTTAGAAAAAAACAGACTTTTAGAAGACGAACTGTTATCACTGTCGAATAAAACCTTTTATTGGCAACCAGCGACTGTTTCTCATAGTTATATGGATAGCGACGACAAGAAAGTCTTCTGTTTTAATCTCTTTGGAACAGAAACCAGGCCGTACCGCAAAGAAAACGCGTCTCCATTACAAGATCATCTGCTGATGTACGAGGTGCGATCGGAAAGTTTCAAGACTGCGCGTATAAAAACCCGTACACTTATCTCAGGTATTAAATTCATCCATCACCCTCGAAGTAGTTCCCCTGGGAGTGAACACAACGATCCCAGCGCCGCTGCCAAGCCTGGAAGCATCCCGGGAAATCTTTCTTTGTCAGCCTGTCAAGAACCATCTGCGATTCTGCCTGAATCTCTTCTATCGCCTCAAATCTCCTTCCCTTTAGCT